AAGGGCTGGAGGGAGGCAGCATGTTTGGCCTTGCAGTAATAGGCCTTGGGTTACTGCTGGTAATCCTGCCTTCCCCTTGTAGGGTTAGAGGAGGTCAGAACATGTGGCCTCCTTGCCGTTTTAGCAAGTATACTGACAGGAAACTTCCAGAAATGCAAGCTGGATTCAGAAGAAGACACGGAACAAGGAATAGCACTGCTGATGTCAGAAGGATCTTGGCTCAAAGCAAAGCATACCAGAAAGGTGTTTACTTGGGTTTTATTGACTATGCAAAAGCATTTGACTGTGTGGATCATAACAAATTATGAATAACATTGAGAAGAATGGGAATTCTAGAACACATGATTGTGTACATTGACCAGGAGGCTGTTGTTCGAACAGAGTAAGGGCATACTACATGGTTTCAAATCAGGAAAGGAGTGTGTCAGGGTTGTATCCTTTTACCATACTTGTTCAATCTGCAATGCTGAGCAAATAATCCAAGAACCTAGACTATATGAAGAACATGGCATCAGGACTGGAGGAAGACTCGTTAACAACCCGTGATACACAGATGACACAACTTTGTTTGCTGAAAGTGAAGATGACTCAAAGCACTTACTGATGAAAATTAAAGACTTCAGTCTACGGTATGGATTATATCTCAATATAAAGAAAACAAAAATCCTCAAAACTAGACCAGTAAGCAGCATCACAAAAATGGAGAATAGATTGAAGTTGTCAAAGACTTCACATTACTTGGATCCAAAATCAACACCAATGTAAGCAGCAGTCAGGACATCAGATGACATATTGCATTGGGCAAATCTGCTGCAAAAGACCTCTTTCAAGTGCTGAAGAGCAAAGATGTCCTCTTGAAGACTAACGTGTGCCTGACACAAGCCATGGTATTTTCAATTGCCTCATATACATGTGAGAGCTAAACAATGAACAAGGAAGACTGAAGAAAAACTGATGCTTTTGAGTTGTGGTGTTGGCAAAGAATGCTGAAAGTATGATGAACTGCTAAAAGAACTAACAAATCTGTCCTGGAAGAAGTGGAGGTGGAATACTCCTGGAAGCGAGAGTGGCCTGACTTCGTCTCACCTACTTTGATCATGTTGTCAGAGGGACCACTCCCTGAAGAAGGATCTCTTGCTTGGTAAAGTGGAGGATCAACAAAAAAGGGGAAGGCCCTCAATGAGATGGATTGACACAGTCGTGACAATGATGGGCTCAGATGTAGCAAGGATCACAAGGCTGGCCCAGGACCGAGCAGTGCTTCTGTTCTTTCATACACAGGGTCTCTAGGAGTTGGAGATGACTCAACAGCACCTAAGAACAATATGTGTCATTTTTTTATCTTGAACTCTTTAACCCAAATGCATTTATGTTTCCACACTTTGCATTTCATTGACTCTAAGACTTTTACTTTTACACTTTAACATCTCAAATCGGGACCCTTCTCTAGATGGTGTCTTAGATTTGGTGAGACCCAGTAGTGAGGAAGTGATTTTATTTCTTCCCAAAGAAATCAATAGTTTTTTACTAATACATTCTTTTATGATTTCTGATAATCTGTTTTATAAACATTTATATACTCATAAACATTTATATACATATATATATAACTCCAGCCTGTTTCTAGATCACATATACCCCTTGGCCTCAGCAATCTATGTGGATGGCTAGCAAAGTTTCCTAACAGCTCCTCACATCCCTTCTTGCTCTCCTGCACACTACTTTCTAAACAGGTGCCTAATGTTCTTTTTAAAATACAAGCCTCATCCATCAAAAACCCTTTAATGGATCCCAACTGCCCTCAGTATTATGACAAAACTCGTGAGCATGGCATACAAGGCCCTTCATGATCTGGAGCTTGTCCCCCTTCTTGATCCACTTATTCCAGACGGCCAATGGCTTTCTATGAGTCCTTCCATAGAGCTCAGTCCTTCCTATCTCTAGGTCTCAATACGCGCTGCTCCCTCTTCTCTAAACGCCATTTCCTACCACTCTTCACCAGATGAACTCCCACTGATACTTCAGGTCTCAAGCTAATTTAGGGATACTAGAAAATATGAGGAATCCTTCAGATTAAAAAAGTACCTTGACATGTACCACAGATGAAAGGGCACTGGGGATGTGGGACAGGTAACTATGTGCATCTATTTTATGCATTCCGTTTGCCCCACTGTAAGCTAGGCATAATATAAAGGTGGGACAATGGTGGGCAGGGGAACAGAGGAGAGGAGACTAACTCCTTACATTTTTCTTTCTCCTTTGCTTCCATCTGCTCTTTCACATGGAGTCTAAAAGCAGCTGTAAAGGAAAGCAGAAGTCTCTTGCTCAAACTTAACCAGAATAAAAACTAAGCTGCCACAAAATCAAAGGATGGTTCTCTAATTTTGAGTTGCTACAAGGAAAACTAAATCAAAACAGAAGAGATAAAACTACGTTCAGAAGGTAGTCAATTTTCATTCAAAGAGAAATGATCCAATGTTTCATAAGACTTTTAACAGGATTTTACCAAATTTTAGAACAGTAACTCACCCTAGAAAAGCATCTCCTCACAATAAAACCCATGTCCAATAGAAAACCCTTCTTATAAACGCCTATTAGGCATGTGTGTGAACACTGAGTTATCTCATACCTTCATCCATTTTTCTCGGCCTAAGTTCTTCACACAGGGTCAGTGCAGTGTGTATGCATAGACTCTAATGAAAAATGCTTTCATCAGAAGAAATGATACAAAACAAAATGGGGAAAAAAAAAAAACCTCAAAATAACCATACAAAACTTTTCTGAATGAATTGCGATTGACCAATTTAGAAACACCATCCACTGTGGCAAGGGACAGAAAGAGAAGCATTTTCATACTGTGTTGGGAAAGTAAATTGGTAAAACCTTTCTGGAAAGTAGTTTCAAACTATGTACCAATAATCTCCAATATGTTCTCCTCTTTAAGTCAACTGATTCTATTTCTAAGTATTTGCCATTAACCGAAAATATGGACAAAAATTTAGAATGAAAACACACACAATCAGCATTTATAATGCGTGCGGCTCTCGTTATAAACAGTAATTCTTAAACCATCCCACAAGCAGATACTGTCAATTTCCCTACTTTACAGATAAAGAAACTGAGGCACAGAGAGGACAAATAACTCAAATAAGGTCACAGAGCTCATAAGCAGTCGACCCAGGCAATTTAGCAAGTAAAATTCTGCTAAAGATCATTTGAAAACAGTTGCAGTAGTACAGCAACTAGGAAATGCAAGAAATTCAAGGTGGATTCAGAAGAGGGCGTGGACTGAAGGATATCACTGCTGATGTCAGACAGACACTGGCTGAAAGCAAAGAATACCAAAAAGATGTATACCTATGTTTTACTGACTATGCAAAGGCACTTGACTGTGTGGATCGTTAACAAATGATGATAATACTGCAAAGAACAGGAATTCCAGAACACTGATGAGCTCATGAGGGAGAACCTGTACATGCACCAAGACAGAGTTGTTTGAAAAGAACCGCCTATACATGGACCAAGAGGCAGTTGTTTGAACAGAACAAAAGGTTACTGTGTGGTTTAAAATCAGGAAAAGTGTGCAGCAAGGTTGTATCCTTCCATCATACTTATTCAATCTGTATGCTGAGCAAATAATCCAAGAAGCTGGAACTATATGAAGAAGCACATGGCATCAGGATGGGAGGAAGACTCATTAACAACCTATGATACACAGATGACACAACCTTGCTTGCTGAAAGTGAAGAAGACTTGAAGTAGTTACTGATGAAGATCAAAGATTACAGCCTTCAATATGGATTACATTTCAACATAAAGAAAACAAAAATCCTCACAACTGGACCAATAAGTAACCTTAAGATAAATGGAGAAAAGACTGAAATTGTCAGGGATTTCATTTTACTTGGATCCACAATCAGAGTCTATGGAAGCAGCAGTTAAAAAAATGAAACAAGGTATCTGCATTGGGCAAATCTGCCTAACCCAAGCCATGGCATTTTCAATGGCTTCACATGCATGAGAAAGCTGGACAATGAATAAGGAAGACTGAAGAATTGATGCTTTTGAATTATAGTGCTGATAAAGAATACTGAATGTAGCATGGATTGCTGGAAGACAAACAAATCTGTCTTGGAGGAAATACAGCCAGAATGCTGCCTGGAAGCAAGAACAGCTTTTGTCTCTCATACTTTGGTCATGTTCTTAGAAGAAACTGGTCTCTGAACAAGGATATCATACTTGGTAAAGCAGAGGGTTAGGGAAAAATGAGAAAACCTTCAATGAGATGGATTGACACAGTGGCTGCTACAATGGGTTCAAGCATGGCAATGACTGAGAGGATGGCATAGACCAGGCAGTGTTTTGTTCCATTGTACACAGGGTCACTATGAGTTAGAAGCAATTTGATGACACCTGACAACATAGTTAGCTCTAGAACTGACACTCTGAACTATATGGCGGTTTTTAGAATTGTATCACGTTGTCTCTCTCTATAAAGACGTCCTGTACAGGGACACTTTCCAGAGTGAAAAACTGGAAACACCTAACAGTAAGACAGAGGCCAACTAAAGTATGATATATCCATTTGTAAAACTGATATTCATCAGCATTAAAATGTTTTAAAAAATTAGTGACACTGACAAATATCCATTAAATATTCATTAAAGAGAACCCATATAAACTACCCTCTACTTAGCCTGAAAAAGAACAGCCATGAGAAAGAACAGATTATAAAAACAATGTGTGTACATATATTATGATCTCAATCTAGAAGGACATACTAACAGGCATATTAAGATGGCTATGTAAGACATCTACATAAACAAATCTAAGTGTTTTCAAACATTCAGAATACATGCATAATTTGTGAAATATTAATAATACTGCAAACAAACTGAAAGAAAAAGTATTAACACTCAATGTGTAAGGATCTTCCAGACATAGGAATGCTGAGTGCCCTCAAGAGGACTGTTATAACTTAACAGTACAGCATTACTTACTCTTTTTATCTGACAAGCTACTAAAGTCTATACCACCAAGGCCTTCGTTGCCTGCAGTTGATGTCACTGTAGTCGTTCCCAAAGTCAAGCCTAATGCATTCTGTCCAAGTCCTACAAATAAACCAGACATCATGTTCAGAGTCCACTGAAAGACTTTGTAACAATTCCCATCACTGACCAAGGAATGGGAAAACTAAATGCTTTTACGTTTGATTCCAGATTTTCTTCATACTCAGTTCAGGCAATTGACAAGAAGTTAACTCTAGAACAGGTTTTGGACAATGACAGATATCCTTGCTTGAATTCAACAGCATAGTTTGGAGTCTGTGATTTTTCTTCATTGAAAAAATCAGGATATATTTGTTAATGTAATACATGTGGATACCCAGTTTTTATTTGTTACAATGTATTTTAAAGGAGTCCTGGTTAAGCATTCGACTGCTAACCAAAAGGTGGGCAGTTTGAACCCACCAGCTGCCCTGCAGGAGAAAGATCTGACAGTTGGCTTCTTTAAAGAATACAGCATTAGAAACCCTATGGTGCAGTTCCACTTTGTCCTCTAGGTGCATTGTGAGTTGGAATCGACTCCATGGCCATGGGTTTGATTTGGGCTTTGCTTCTGTAAAGACTGACAGTATTGGAAATGCTATCGGACAGTTCTGCCCTGTCCTATAGAATCATCATGAGTCAGAATCAATTCAACAGCAGTGGGTTTGTTTTTTTGGTTTCTTTTTAATAATGATAATTAAAGTCAACAGCACCTTTAGGTTACCATAATATAACCATAAAGTAAATATTGAGTATTACATCAGGAGTCTAAGAAAATTCAGGGCACACCTAAAAACTCAATAAAGAGAACCCATATAAACTACCCTCTACTTAGCCTGGTTAATATTTTTTGTTTTGCTTTTATAGAAATATTCTGAGCAACGTGTAAATATTTATCCTGCAAAGAAATACATGTTTTAGTCATCTAGTGATTTGGTAAAGAGAATTACTTAATATGCATGAGGCAATATTAAAAAAATAAAACTTGCCAGACAATACTTTCATGTTTTGTCTAATGACTACCATGAAATTATTTCATCTGTGTTTTAAAATCTTGCCCTCAAAATATGCTAATACCCTTTCCTATAACAGAAAGCCATCTGTACCACTGTGGCGTAACAAGTCAAATGACCTTATAACAAACTTAGGCTCTAAATGACCCAAAGGACCAGCCAGGGTTTCATTCTGTTGTACAAAGGATCACTCTGAGTTGGAGCTGATTCAGCGGCACCTAACAACAACAATGACCCAAAACTCTTCAGTTGCTGTTTATTAAAAAGACAAGTTTCTTTAGAACATCTAACGACTTCTCAAATAGGCCCTTCTTCGTATTTCAGCATCTTGTCAGTCAATATCGAGAAAAAAAAAGCAATGTATTTCTAAACTATGGCTAGGATGTCCAATTATGTAGGAAAAATATAATCTGGCTTTCATAATAAAAGGAAAACATACTGGCTCAGGAGACAACGTGATCCACTGAAAAGACTAAAGTAAAGAAAAGGTCAATTTAAGTATAAATATTTAGCATTTCTAGAACGTAAGTACCAATTACCTGATGCTGCTGTGTTGGTACTCTGGAAAAGCGAACCTCCCAAACCAGCGAGGGCGCCCCCCAGAGAAAGGCCTGTGGAGGCTGTGGTGGTGGCCGTAGTTCCACCCAAGTTGTTCAGTGTAAATCCTGTGGAAGCTGCGGAAGATGAGAGAGGGAACTTTCAGAGGCTTTTTTCCTAAAACACCACAGAAAAACGCAAGTAACTTTTGAACAAAGGATTTCCATGATAAAATCAGCTCTTCGAAAAAACTACTCCTTAAAGATATATACCTGAGATAAAGAGAAGTAGTGGCTTCAAAGAGACAATCAAGGACAGAGATGAGGGCTTGGGTAATACTAGAATGGTACTAGATAATGAATTCCAGACAGCTGAAAGAGTTTCAACACAGCCCACCAACTCTGCCTTCAAAATTAAATGAATCCTAAGCCTGCCAAGAGTTAGGTGAACTCTGTACCCTACCCCACGGAAATGCTACTCAGAAACAAAGCTGATCTCAAAGACAATGTTCTACATCTTACTTTAGGGAGGAGCAACTGGGGTCTGAAAAGCTTGCAAGCAACCATCAAGATTCAACTATTGGTGTCTCCCTGTCCAGAGCAAAAAAGAGTGAAGAAAATAAAAAATGTAAGGAAACAAGTGGTCCAAAGGACTAAAGGACCATGCAAACCCCAGCCTCCACGACTCTGAGACTAACTAGATGATACCCAGCTAACTCTACCAACCTCTCAAATGGAATCATGTTAGAAGGTCCTGGACAGAGTCGGGGAAAAACGTGTAGAACAAAATTCTACATTTTGAACAAAAAAATCACAAAAAAGATCAGGCTCTCTGGTCAGACAGCGATTGGCAGAAACCTCTGAGACTGTGGCCCTTAGACACCCTTCAAACCTGGAAGTGAACCCATCCAGGGGATCAACTTTTGGCCAAAGAACAAACAGGCCTATAAAGTGAAGAATAACACCCGGGAGGAACATACTACCCAGGACAACCAACCATATAGAACCAAAAGGGCAGCATTTGCCAAAAACAAAATTCCAAAGGCAGAAGGGGCAGGAAAGAAGGACGAATGGAAACGGGAACCCAGGAAAGAAGTGGGGAGAATGTGCTGCATGGAGGAAGGCTGCAACCAATGTCATGAAAACAAAACTTGTATGAACTATTGAATGGAAAACTAATTTGCTCTGAAAACATTCACCCAAACGATTAAAAAGTTTGAAAATAAAAAATATATTAAACCAGGACTTTATTTTCTTCTTATAATGTGGCATGAAAAACAAACAAAAAAACCACAGTTGCTGTTAACAGCTGTAGAGTTTCCCTCTAGTCCTCTCCCATTTTGCTCTGTCAACAGAGCCAAACCCCCTATCAGCCTCTGCTGTTTCCATGTCAATGCTGATTTCCTTCTTTACAAGTCAATCGTTCTATTAAGTCAAAACTGCTGAGTGAATGAACTAAAAATTTCCCCATACTGAAGTTGTGTGTAATAAAGATAGATACTTTTACTTATGAACCAAATAAAATTAAAATGTAACCATTAAATACAACTTCTTTTCCCATCCTGCCTCACCTGCTGGAGTTGATGTCAGAGTAGATGAAAGGGTAAGACCACTGGCTGAGGTAGAAGCAATGGGCAGAGCAAAAGGTGTGGCAGAGGCCGCAGGCTTACTGAATCCTAAGCTGAAACCTGTTGTAGATGCAGACGTTGTGGCTGGTGCTCCTGTTTTTTTTTGGGGGAAAAAAAAATTCCATTTCACCTTAAGTATAAGGTCGCCAGGAGTCAGAATTAACTTGATGGCAATGGTTTATACATGTATTATACCAGTTTCAATGTGGACACCTAAAAGTTTGTGTTCCTACTTTCTGTACTTAGAACAAGGTCGCATGTACTTAAGTATGTGGGGGGGGGGGGGGGAGTAACAAAGTTGGGACTAAATCATGGTGACTGCTTAAGGGATGGCCCTGAAGGTTAGGAAAAGCACAGGACAATCCAAACAGTGCAGTGATACTGAAATCCAATTTCCAGTCCACGCCTAGATTTTTCTAGAACAGCATTCATCCTCCTTCCTTAAGTCTCAGTAGAAAAACGATCCCTCTTCTCCAAGACTAACTAGCCAACTCCACTCCTTCACATCCTCTTGTCTTGACTTCCTGTTCCATTAGCTCCAGTCCTTTCTACTCCTCCTGGCTAGGCCTCTTCAGGTTTCTTCTGCAGATCCCTTATTCTGTTCATTTCTTAAATGATATTCCCTAGGGTTCTACTCCTGCTCCTGTACTTGCTGAATGATCCTCTCACTTGCACAATTTCAGCTGTAGGTCCAGGAGGCTAAGTCTATGTCTAAGTCTACATCTAGCTGAGTCCCCCACTGGCTGTCTCTACCTTGATGTCTGTTTGGATCCCTCCATGTCTGCTGGTAAACAATCTCATCTCACACACACACACCCCTTTCTGAATTCCTCACCTTCAATACAGTTGGTTGCTCAGGCCAGAAGCCACAGTCATCCCTAACATCTCCTCCTTCCCATTATTCTACTAGTCACAAATCTTGTCAATTCTGCTTCAGAAACAGTCCTGGATTCCAGGCATCCTCCGAATCCTTGAACCAGGCCTTCCTTCTCTCAAGAACTACTACAATAGCCTCCTCACTTACAGCTCAGCTGGCAGTTCCGACTCAGCGACCCCCATTAGGTTTCCGAGGCTGTCAATCTTTACAGAAGTAGATCACTCCAACTTCCTTCCTGGTGGGTTTGAACTGCTCAGCTTCTGGGTAACAGCCAAATGCCTCATCCACTATGCCATCAGAGCACCTTTATCTTTAAAAAGGGACGTGCTTTACCATCTGGTCTCAACTGGCTCCTCAAATGTCATCTCTCCCCACCATTCCCTCCCTGAACCCTAAGCTCCCAGAATAATACATCTTTCCTATTTCCCTGGCCTCTTTTATGACTGGATCTTTGCACTTTCCACTTCTCTGCCTGGCATGTTTCCTGCCCACAACATAAACACTTACTTCATTCTTCCTCACCTTCCACAGTGCCTTTCACACATCAGTTAGAGCATCAGTCAGAGCACACAGAAACTTGGAAATACACGCCTGTCCCCTTGAGCTCACCAGACTGGATGACTTGAAGCACAGACCATCTTGCTGATGCACTTAGCAGTATCCAACATCACCATCAGCACCATCCTCACCACCAGCACCACCCGCCAAAACCTAATATTGAATGTCCAAGGCACCATGCTGGGCATTTCATATGTGCTTGTTTACTCATCATCATCATTGTCTGTATTTTTATAAATGAGGAAACTGAGGCTTAGAGAAGACATGCCATTTTACCCAAGGCCATGTAGCCAGGATTGTAGGAGCTGCTCAAAAAATAGTGCATGAGTAAACATATGGAAGAACTGCATTTTGGCTTCTCCTGAAAAGATTATTCAACTACTTTAGCTCATCAGATAACCACATATCTGGGATCTCTTCTCAGAAATTCTTACCCAGAGTTAATCCTGTAGAAATAGTTGTTGCTATTCCTGGGGACAAAAGAGAAATAAAATTTAGTCATCAACACAAGGCATTCTTTTGGTTTATTTGTCATAAGGGAAAGACTTAGAATCACCCTCAGGAAGTGACTACACCATTGCTAATAAGACCAATACATATCATAATTATCTTCTACCATAACCACTAAGTAATACAAACATTTTCCTGTAGTACTTGTTTTCATATGACAGGCTGTATATAACTTGATAGCGAGTAAGATTTATAAACTATGTTTAACTACTGCTTCATAGTGGCCAACTCAACAACAGCTACCAAGGCAATTGCTTCTAACAAAACTAAGCGAGGAGAGAGAAAAGCTACTCCAAGCCGTGCACAAGTCGACGGCGCTGAATTCTGAATCCTGAACTCGCCTGGCCGGCCTGCTCGTGTTCACCAAGCACAGCTTTCATCTTGTCTGCATGGTGGTGAAATGGGCCATAAGCAAAGCCGTAAGGTCAATGCCAACGGTGGTAACAAGGACCAAGGGGCTCTGATGCTACAGAGAAATAAGGAAGCAAACCCTTTAATGGTCTGTTCCAACGAAATGTTGGTTTTCATCTGTAAGAACAAAATGCCCGAAGTTATTTTTTAAAAAAGCCTTATTATTATGGACATACATACCAAAAACCTTCAAGTCCTGTATCTCTTGCCCTTTTCCCATTCCCATTAAAACAATTGTTTAGTAACACAAAAATGTAAAACAAGTTCTCGGAGGGATGGATTATAATGTTATAGCCAAGTAGGACGCTGACTGTCTCTTCTATGTTAAATTACTTAATGCTCCAAATAGGGAAATGTGACTTAAACAACAATACTCTCTTATGATATGATGTAAAATGCTGTTATTATATCATCTGATATGTAATTTAAAATTACTTTAACTGTGTGTGCTTTTCACCTTCTTTATACTACAGATGATCACAGCCCATACCTGGGCTTCTCACCGGGTCTTAATTCCAAATCGTTGTGTTTCTTTTCATCTTAGTATTTGCTGTTTTAATTTAAGTCTCTCCCTCTTGATTCTTTGCAGTGACAATCCTTGTAAAGGGAGGAGATACAGGAGAAGATTCTAAGCCTATCCCTGAAAAATGTAACACTTCTTCTTACCTGTATTTGATCCTCCTAGCGTGAACCCAGTAGCAGGTTTCGATCCAAAAAGCCCAGTTCCAAAACCACCAGAAGGGGCTGATGTCGTTGCAGGAGTGGCAATGCTTCCAAGAGTTCCAAAATTGAGCCCCACGGAAGGGTTACTTGTTTATTTAAAAAAAAAAAAAAAATTAAAAAAAAATCTGTTAGGGCCAATATTTACTAAACAAAAATAAAAACTAACTCCTTGGGATTAATTATTTTTCTCTCATTGAACATATCCACAGGATCCAAAATGTACTAACAATAAATTTTCCAATAACCAACCAAATCAAAATATTTTTCTGTTCTCCTTAAAAATAAATGTACATGTGAGGTTATTCTTTTCTTTTCTTTTTAATAGAACTTTATTGTTTTCGGTGAAAGTTTACATAGCATTTTAGGTTCCCATGCAACCATGTCTATACAATTGTCTGATAACACTGCTTTACATTCTTCACAATGCATAAACATTCTCATTTCTGTTCCAGTTGCTGATTCCATTCATCTGGTTTCCCTGCCCCCTTAACAGAATTCTCATCTTTGTTTCAAAGTCATTGCTGGCTATTTGGTCTCACTAAGGTAATTTTTAAAGGAGCATGTAAAATTATTCTTACAAAATAAAATATCAACCTTCAAGAAAAGAAGTCTATAGCAATCAGGATTGTAGCCCCAGGGATTAGGATTAATCATGAACAGGTCAGGTCACACAGATTCTACTTTCATCAGTTTGTTCCTATGACTGAAACCTAGAATATTTCTATATGGCCATAAGGAAATCCTATGAATACAGATCACTTTACTAAATTCATTGGTTCTTCCTCAAACAATATAAATGAAAGTAAAATATATCCAGAAGTAGAAAGTCACTCTAATTTGTCTTCCTTTAACCAACCCTACATTATTACTACTATATTCCTGAAGGGAGGGTTGTGGTTAGGTATCCACAAAAAAAAAGCAGTAACAACTTAGGGCTAGGGTGGAGGGTATATCCTAAAGACTGAGCCACAAAGCAAAATCACCCTACAGCAAGATGGTGTATTTATCAGCAGAAATCACATGCAGAGAGCTTTCAAAGGCTTAAAAAGAGCAGCAAAAGTAGAAACAAGTGAATTTGAAAAATAAAAACTTTTCAACTGTTTCAATCAAACTTCAGAGGCTGAAATTTGCCATCTACATACAGGTGAGAGGACAAAGCATGAAATGAAGCCAAACACTTCAAGAACTTGACAGTGAAAATCATGTAAGAGTTTTTAACAACATGTACAACATCATGAGAAATCCCATTTATAGTACAACTCTTCCTGCCAGTCCACAGTGATAATCATTTGAGAGAACCCAGTGTCAGTTTAAATATGTTAAAAAGCCCTAAGATGTTTCAATTTAAGGGGGAAGCCATCATGTTAGAACTTGATTCCAGTTCAGCTCTCAACTTCCCATTGTGATGGCAAAATGGAGTAACAGTAACCACTTTGCACCAACCTTTTGGTTGCACAAATGCCTTAGGCACTCAGCCACCAGAGCTCCTTAACCACTTTGCAGGCCTTTTAATAAAGATTAAGACATTACACAGGGTGAGTTACCTTATTCCTAACTTAGCATTACGAACACTTACAAATTTAACCACACACATGTGCAAGGCACTATGCCAGGAGTAGCAAGGGGGTACAATGAAGACTAAGACAACCCCAGGGTCCAAGGAATAAGTTGTTTACCAGAGGAGTAAGATAACACAGCTGTGACCCCAGGCAGAACAGTCCCCAAGCGACCTGCATCCAGACTCAAACCCACAACCAGCCCGCAGAACCACTCAGATTGTGCATATGTTCGGGACTTAGGGGGAGGGCAGTGTTATGACTCAAGTAGTAAAATTTTCTATCTTCAACAAGTTGAGAATCACCATATGCAGATTACTGGCAAACATATTACAGAATTGAGGTCACGAACTCAGCAATATGAGGGCAATGGAGAGGGAGGGAGGAGCTGAGTAAGAAGGTAGAACTTGAGATGGGCCATCAACTCTCAGCAGAAAAAGGGAGAGGGAGGCAGGTAATTGCGTCTTGGTTCATCACTGATTAAACAAATAAATCTCCATCAGTACACGTGTGTGTGTGTGTGTGTGTGTGTGTGTTCCTGAGTGTATGGCAGGTAGGGAGGGGTAGGACTGCAAGGTCTCACCAACAATTTAGGCATAACCAAAACCAAACTCCCTGCCATCAAATTGGATCCAACTCACAGCAACTCCCCCTAGGTTTCCCAAGGCAGTATCACTACGGAAGTAGATTGCCCAGTCCTCCTTCCGAGGAGTGGCTGGTGGGTTTGAACCGCCAACGTTCTGGTTAGCAGTCAAATGCCTTAGGCACTACTACAGAGCTCCCAATTTAGGCTAGAACTTTATAAATTTAATCAACTGAATAAGGACCAAGGTATTTTGAGGAAAATCAGCAAATTTTAAAGACATAAAATTAGAAAAATGGTTATTACGCTCCCATTACACCCAAATCAATGACCCTATTTTTCAGAGCTGTGCCCTACTTACATTCCATAAATATACAAGAGACATACAATGAAAGGTATGCATTTCTAGGCAATAAATTACAATTTTTTAAACTTCTTGACAACATAACTGAAGACACTATGAGGTGTTTCATAAATAAAAGTGGAAACATTACCCAAAAATAGACATTAAAATCTTTCTTCTTCCCTATCAGAGAGGCAAACGAGAAATTTCTCTGTGGCAGCAAAATTTACTTGAAAAAAACAAAAGCTACACTAAACCCAACCGATTATTGCCTCAACTCAGTATTACCTGACAGTGAGTCACAGCATGTACAGGAAAAGGAAAGTTGACTCCATCCAGTCGGAAATGGAGACGTAGTGCCTAAAGCATCTGACTGCTAACCAGAAGGCTGGCGGTTCAAACCCACCAGCCAACTCCACAGAAGGAAGGTTGGGCAATCTACTTCTGTAGCAATATTGCCACGGAAACCCAAGGAGGGGTCGCTATGAGTTGGAATCGACTCGATGGCATTGAGTTTGGCTTTTGGTTTTGGTTAGCTGGCCTTGAAGAAGCCCTAGAGGCATAGTGGTTAAAGTGATTGGCTGCTAACTGAAAGTTCGAACCCACAAGCTGCTCTATGGGAGAAAGATGAGGCAGTCTGCTTCTATAAACATTACAGCCTTAGAAACCCTATGGGGCAGTTCTCCTCGACTTGATGGCAGCAGATTTGGGTTTCTGGCTTAGCCCGCCTTAACTGGGGACTTAGAAGTGAACCTAACAGCTAACATTCACTGAGTACTTAAGAAGGTGAGCTTACATGATGCTACATACGTGACATGCTTTATCTCATTCAACAACCTTCTGAGGTCAGGATATTATTAGACATCTTTTCCAGATGTGGGAACTGAGGCCTTGAGAGTAACTCATCCAAGATTATTTACCAAAAGAGACAAAATCACCTAGGGGCAGGAGCAGCTGTCATGTTTCTAAACCAGCTGTGGTAGTTAAGGTCATGTGTCAACTTGGCTGTGCCTGATTTTGAGTGGCTGGACAGCTGCATGTAGTGATTCCCCATTATGAGACAGGTCATCAACTCCACGATGGAATCTACTAGAGCAGCTGAGTAGCTGTCTTAGGGATGTGGTCTGCTCTCAGTATATGAGACAGCTTTGAGAAAGGTTTCTGGACTTTTTGGCACACTTGGACCCTGCATGTTACCCAGTCTTTATTTACCAGCCTGCCATGTTTCCTGCCAATCTTGGGACTGTCTCTGGACTTGAACTAGTGGTCTGCCATGTTGTTTGGCAATCTTGGGACTGTGCTATTTTATTTATCGACCTTGGGTTTGTCCGCCTCAGCAGCCTGCAGCTGCCCGAGTGAAGAGAAGCCTCCAGCTTCAGTGGGCCGGGAATAAGAGGCAGAGGTGAAGCCCAAGGCTGAGGGGCTGTCACTGAGCCCCGCGCTCTGAACTCAGACCTCTAGCCTCCTAAACTGTAAGAGAATAAACTCTTGTTTGTTAAAGCCACCTATTTGTGTTATTTTCTGTCAGAGCAGCACAAGGTAACCAAAACACCAGCACGCTAACAGGCAGATGTCTTCTGTCATTAATTTATCCATGTACCTCTAAAGCCTGTGTAAATTTTTCTAGTTTATTACCTAATAATTCATGTATTCAGTCATTGAACAAGTACCTCTTAGGCCTCTTTTCATATGACAGACACTGTCATAGGGACTAAGGAAGAAGCGGTCAATAAGATTAGACCCTGCCGTCATGGAGTTTCCAGTTACTGAAAGGAATATTTATCATTCATTCACTCAACAGATTTTTTCTAAAAACAAGACACTGTATCTACTAGGAAAGACAGATAAGTCCTCTACCCTCATGGAGCTTACACTGTAGTACTGTAATCAGACAATGAACAAGTAACACTATACCTCAAAGGCACTTTAACTACAGGGTACTAGAGTGGAAACATCTAGACTTACAGGTCAGAGAAGGCTTCTCTGGGAGAGTGACCCTTGAGGTTGGTTCCATTAGCTAGGGACATGAAGTAGGTGGTAGGGGATATCCGAGTTGGCCTCAACTCATAATGACGACTCCTTGGGTTTCCGAGGCAGTATCACTACAGAAGTAGACTGCCCAACCTTCCTTCTGAGGAGTGGCTGGTGGGTTTGAACCACCAGCCTTCTGG